ATTATTGCCAGGTACATACAGTGGTTTGACCTTAGCTATTTTCATTTTGTTGGGAAATGATCCCCGTTTGAAACGATAGATTGCAGATATAAGTTAATGGTTTAGCGATTCCTTTGATTACTGTTTTAATAGTTTTCATGTCCAGATCTTCACAGTCAGTGGATGTTTTATTTTTACATTTATTCACAATGTCTATGATTTCTTCTTCTAATACAGGGTTGAGATAGAAGGAGCTGGAATTATTCTCAATTTGATATTGCTGAGTTGCAGTTGTTATAGTCGTTATTTTTCCTGCTAATTGAGGTCCTATATTAACAAAATAACTATTGAATTTATTGACGACACTTTTCAAATCAGTAATATTCCATTCATTCTCTATAAAATAGTGTGGATAGTTATTATTGTTAGAAGATTTCCTAATAACTCTATTTAAAATGTTCCATGTTTCCTGGGGAATCTGGGGAGACAGTACAGATCCCCAGGGCTAAAGGGCAAAATGCTCCATGGACACTACAGACAACCATGCATATAAAGTTATGTCTAAGGGGAGGTTTTACCTAAAGGAGGCCAGTTTATCTAACACTCATTTTTATGGACTGTGGGAGAATAGGAGCCAAGGATGCCCGGGGGGAAAATCTAAACTTATCAGAAAAGAATCTTGACCAGAATTTTAAACCCCAGACATTCTTACTGCAAGATAAAAATGCACCAGTGCACCCACAGGCAACCCATCTTAGAATTCTAAAAGTGTTAAATCATGGAAAATGCACAAAATAAACAACAACAAAAATGTATTTCAGTGCCTGACAAATAAACCTTCCTGAAATACATTTTCCTTCCTACAGATTTATTTGTGAGAATCTAAGAGGCTGGATGATATCTAAACATTAGAGTAAAGGAAGGCAAATACCTGCAGATTAAAACAGAGCTGTCTACAAAGCTCTCATTTTTGCTGAAATTGTATGAACTCTCTTCTTTACCGTGTTTTTGATGATGGTTGTCAGTCACACTGCTAAAAAGATCTAGAAATAAGTAAAACATTTCTTAAACTAATTGTATGTACTTTAATTTCAGTAGGTAAATAAGATGATTTCTCTATTTACCTGTTTGGAAGTATTTTTACTCTTAAAATAAGATAATTAGATAATATGCACTTGAAATTAGACAATGCAATTGTTTTTTCTTATTTTAAATGTAAATTGTCTTTCTAGTTCCAGGGGCAAATGGTCTTACTTCCTCCTCAATTCAAAATGCACTTATTTTAAGAAACAATTACTTATTTATATTACATTTTTTTGCAGTGCATATTTTAAGTTTTGACATATTTTTTCTTAGCTTAGTTTTTTTTTTTAAACAACCAAGAACATTATTATTATTTTATTTATTGCTTTTATTACCTTTGTGTATTTTTTCTACCAAGTTAAAGTATGACACACACATGTTTGATCATGACGCAAGAATCAAAGTACCAGGACAAAAGATACTTTATTATTTATCTCCTTAGTCCATCATTCGTATGGCACCACTACTGCAGAAACATTTTTCATATTGATACATAAAAACTGATTTGGTAAAAATATGCTTTATCCCTGAGTGTCTTTCTTTTACCAGTCATGATATGTAACTTTGACTCTGTCAATCTATGTATGGTTTTGTTCCAACTCCAAAGGGTCACAAATATGTAAGTCAGAAAAAAGCCTCTCAGAAGCAAAACTGGGATCCAAATGAAAGTCAACTTTGAAGATGGGAACAGATATTCTATGAATACTGAGTGCTCACATAATGATGGTGTAATGGCCACTGAATGGCTTGTTGTGGATCATAGCGCTGCAGCTAGAGTGATGCCATCTCACAAAATGGTCTCTAGTATGTATTGGTGTCCTGCAGAGCAAACAGCGGGTAGACTCTGATGGTAGCCGTGCCTTTACACTTCTACTCCTTTGGTTTTTTGTGTTTTCTTTTACCACAATTGTCACCAAACTGCCACTTATCTGTAATTCCTCAGGTTGGCTCTTTTCCACAAACTAAAAGCTGATGCATGGTTTTACACTGAAGAGAAGGGAGACAGGCTGATTTTAATGACTTAACTTTTTCTCTCTGTGTATACAGCATGTGCAGCATGTGGACACTTTCACATGAGCTGCAGGACCAAGGCCAACATACAGAGAGCAGAAAAGAAAAATTCAAGCTTTTCTGCTTTGTAGAACTCATTGAGTTTAAGGTTGGTGGGGATGTGAAACCAAATGTTGAACATTTAAGGACAACATCTTGTTCCAATCTGTTGCGGACACATTTTAAAGGTGATTCTATTTGTTTTCTGTTACAAGCTGACAAAAATGGTCCTCTGCTGTTGCAGCCCATCTGCTTCAATGTCTCAGGAGATGAATGAACAAAAATGCCATACGATAAATTTTGACTCTGTTAAAGTCACTTTCTTCCCCATTCTGTCGACCACTTTGACCTTCAGTAAGCCATTTTGGCACATCATGAAGCAAAATGCCAATTTTCTGTGCGTTTAAAAATTGAACAGGTGTAAATACATAGCTTACTTCTACTAGGGTATATGATCAAACTGATAACCTGGAAAATTTTTATCTCTTTAATGATACGTGTTGACAGCAAATTGAAGGGGCAAAAGACCAAGGGCCCCTCTATACAATCAGCATGGAAGAGTTCTATCCAGCTTGTTTCTTTGAGGGATTCAAACTGTTTTTATTCCATTATTAATCTTAAAAAGAACATGATGAGTTAAATAAAACTAATCAGAATAAATTAATATTTTAAAAATAAAAAAAATCACAATAATTTTACATTGATTCTAAAAACCCCTTTAGGCAAAGAAAAATATAACAACAAAACAACCAAAAACCCTCAAAACTAGGACGCTATCGAATTAATGTGTTTTCTGACTTGAGTTAACCCCTATTTATATTTTAGAATCCTTATAACATTTGCTGCCAACCTGTACATGGAAATAGCCAGAGTTTATTATTATTATTTTTTCTTTCATAGACTACATTTCATTTTTAGGTAATCATCAAAATTACCCCCCAAAAAAATAAATCAAAACACCGAAAGATGGGCCTGACTTCAATTAAGCTGTGTAAATTATGAGTTTTTCTTGTGGAGTTGATTTTCATAAATTAGTAAGGTCTACTCTACTCTCATACCTGTAGAAGCGTAGGCAGAACATTTTTATAAGGGTGGCCAGGCAATAACTGAGGGGTGGCTGAAAGCGGATACGCGCCAGAACCTCAGGGTCAATCTACACTGTTCCAATAAGACAATTAACAAGCAAAACATCCATATTTTCTAAATAAAGACAAACTATACTTTCCTACAGTCTTTGATAACAAGTATACGCATATATTTAAACATCCACGCTTTCTAAATAAAAGGTGTAGTGGATAAAATTCTTTCAGTTTTGAGTTCTGGGGTGTAAATATTTTTCATTGTCATTACTTACATACTTGTATCAATAAACATTCTGCATAAAGTTGGCATTAACAAGCACTAATATTTACATAAATTGATTATTTGATACGTTTTTATTGAATTAGTTAATTATCTATGATTTCACTGAAGACTCCTAGATGACTTGCAGAGACACATTTTCTCTTTACAACATATAAAACAAAATCTAGTTCTGAAAAGAGCGTGAATTCTGTATTTATCATATTTGATGTTAGTATATTGATGTGTATGATTAACCAAAATATTTTTAAACGTTTATATAATATTCCACTTGAGGGTATTACTGCTGCCACTGTCTGTATTAGAGGGAAAACATGGTGGGGTGGACAAAGGGGTGGCCATGGCCACCCTTAGCCCCCCATCTAGCTCCGCCCCTGCATACCTGCATTTCAGCCCTTTTCTCCGACCACTCAGTGCACGCGCGCATACAGGTGTGGCAACGATGTCAACCCGGAAGTGAGCTTTTGTCAACAGAATCGACAGCCGCTCGGACTGCACACGCTCTATAGGCTACTCTATGACAGAATGGCTGGAGGAAGCGGAGAGTCTAGCCACTGTAAAAGATTTTCTTACACGTTTCTGAAATTCCTCCTGGCCTTCTACGCCTGCGTCTTTTGGGTGAGTGTGGCCGTTTTTATCTAAATTAACTCAACTGTCTGCCTGGAGAGACGCGTTTCTTACTATGTGCGCTCAAATCGAAAGGAAATAGCAGGGGTTTATGTAGTAGCCTATAAATTAAACTTCCAAGTGTTTTATGAGATTCGAGCTTTTATTTTCTTTGCTCGTGCAGTAACTATATCAGAGATTTAGTATTTCACCTGTTGGCCACACCTTCCACTGCTCACCTTTACTCTAAAAACTGCCGCTTTGGATAAACAGGAAAACAGTCTGTCACTGTCTGATTAGCGCGTGATCTGTATGGAAGCAAATCGTTACCATATTTCAAATGAAAAAGCATTTTCATAAATACTTATTCATTTTAGAATGTGGCTGTTGTTGTTTGACTCATAAATGAAATTAGTAATCAATCATCCTGTTTGCATTTTCATTTTCTTCTTTAACAATGCTCAATATTTTACTCAATTAAAATGAGAAAGGAAAAGACATTTGAGATTTATTTTTTCAAAATGTACCCCAGCAAATACATTTTATTTTGAAATCTAAAATTTGAAAATGAAAAAGCATTTCCAGAACTGTTTTTTCATTTTAAGAATGTGCCTGCATTATTTGACTCCTAAATTAAATTGGTAATCAATCATCCTATTTGCATTTGTATTTTCTTTTTTAAGACTGCACATTCTATGCCATAATCAAAGAGAAAACACAGCGGACATTATTTTTTCGGTTTTCGTGGTCTGGGGCAAAGTACTCTCTATAACTCGAAAACTAAAAAGCATTCTGAGCGGCTGGCGCAGCAGAGTGACGTTAGCAGCCGTTCTTCCTCAGGTCTTTGCTGAACGGGCTATCCATCTTGTTCGGTAGGGGGCGCTGTGCATGTCTGCATTGCATTACATTGTAATCGTGCGGACGGGAAACTTAGGAACAGTCGGTGTTGTCACAGGTTCTTAAGAAGCAGGCACTTGCTCTAAAGCAGCAGTGGCCTCCCTCAGTAGTTCTGCCACTGTTTTGGTCATTGTGGTCGTTCAGTATGTCAACCAGTTTCCTGCATTTCTGAAAATGCTTTTTCATTTGAAATATGGTAACGATTTGCTTCCATAGATCTGATCAGTCGATTCTGATAAATAGAATTTAATCTAATTTGCTCAACAGCTCAATATGTAATTGATTATTGATCCTTTATGTCAGAGTTCCCAAACCTTTTTGACTTGTGTTCCCCATTGGGCATTTTGTCTTACAGTGAGTTCCCCTCTCAGTCAAAAGTATTGATGGTTGTCTAAAAGTGTAACTTAAAATAACTGAAATGAATACTATTTTAGTTAATCTTTTAATTTGAGCATTTAATTTTATTTATAAAATAAAACATAAATATGTTGCCTGCAATTCAGTAATGAATCAAATTAAATACAAAAATAAAATCATGTTATAAACCGCTATTAATAAAACTGGAGCTCACTCCCTTATAATCACATTTAAAATTGATGAAATGCAGGGCCGTAGATAGATGGGGGACCAAGGGTGGCCATATCATTGCCCAACCCCCACCCCATACAGATGGTGGCAGCAGTAATACTCTCAAATTTTCGTTTTAATTTTTCATATATTACTTACTATTTTTTCCATGTATTCATAATTTCTTGACGACAAAAACATTTTGGTTAATTATACACATCAATATACTAACATCAAAGATGATAAGTACAGAATTCATGATCTTTTCAGAACTAGATTTTGTGTGTTATTGGGTAAAGAGAAAATTATGTGTCTCTGCATTCATCTTCAGTGAAATCATGATAACTATTTTGATAAATATTTAAATTAAATAATCAATTATTGTAGACATTAGTACTTGCAAATATCAATTTTATGCAGAATTATTATTGATAAAAGTAAGTAAGTAATGACAATGGAAAAGATGTTTGCGCCAGAACTCAAACCTGAAAGTATTGTATCCACTATACCCTTTATTTAGAAAGCTTGGATGTTTAAATATATGCGTCTATTTGTTAGCAAAGGCTGTAGGAAAGTATAGTTTGTCTTATCTTTGGCTTAACCCTGAGGTTCTGGCGTCTATCCACTTTCGGCCACCCCTCAGTGTATATTGGTTATTGCCTGGCCACCCTTATTAAAAATTTCTGGCTACGCCTCTGATGGATTGGGAAAAAAATAAAAATAAAATAAACGGAACAAAAATTATAGTCAGATAGACTTAATTAGTTTTACTTTTTTTCATCAAATCACCTGAGCTGCTTTCATGAGCTCCATTGCTCAGTGTGAAAAAACAGCTGATACCAGGCTGTTCTCTACATCCAGTCTGTTTTTCTGCTTGGTTTGGATGTGTGTTAAAGCTGAAGGTGAACTCAAACATATAAGCAAAACGTACTTTGTGATTTTATTTTTGTTTTTTTATTGGGTCCTCATAAAGCAAAACAGACACCTGACTACTTACATGTTATTTCTCCGCTGTCATGACTTTAAGGACTGGTTGGTTTTGGTAAATGCTATCTCAGAGAGCTGACCACATGCATTACATGACACAGTGCTGATGGTATTATTGATCCCACAGAGCCTTGGCCACAATAATACCACAAGCATTACATGACACAGTGCTGATGCTATTATTGTGGCCAAGGCTTTGTGGGATCCTCACAACTATTTTAAAGATCTTCTTCAATTTCTTATCATTTGGAAACCTCTGATAATAATTGCTGTGTGTTATGCAGTTTATATCTCACAATTTCTAATAAAATGGCCAATTGTTTTCATAATTCTATTTGAAAAGTGAAAAGTTTTAAAACTGAGTAATCTACATCAGGCAGAGGTAGTAAAAGTACAAATCCTTTGTTATCTTAAGTAGAAATTTCTGCTATTTATACTTTACTGGAGTAATAATTTGTTTTAGACAATTTTTCACTTCTTCTCCTTACATTTTTTTTTTCTTTTTGCAATTATCTATACTTTTTTCTCCTTACATTTTAAAAATAGGCTAAATAGTTTTGTTTTATTTGAGCTCATTTATGTTATGGCCTGTTGGTATTTAAAATAAGATAAAAACCTTCAAAATAATTAGTTTCATCCAGACAGTTAATTTCAAATTGATGCAAAGTTAAATTGGACATGGGTACTATTTTTTATAAAACTTAAGTATAAGGAAGTTATCATCCAGAATTGTAGAGAAATATTCCTTTAATAGGGTAGTGTTGTAAATAATCTGTCCTTAACATTGTTTTTACTTTTATACTTTAAGCAGTTTTAAAAATACTGCTTTTACAATGTTTACTTGAGTAAATAGCTTCTGTTGATACTCTAACTTCTAATAATTTTTTTTTTAAACAGTAGAATTTCTACTTGTACTTGAGTTATAAACATTAATACTTTTGCCAACTCTGATATTAGGTGTTCATTTATTCCAGTTTTGGTTAATATGATGCACATCTGTTAAAAAAAAAAACCTAAATTAAAGTGCTCTAAAAATAGAAAAAAGAAGATGTAAAGTTCACCCTGAGAAAACAATACCATGTGTTCCCTAGGAAAGAAACAGAGGGCAACTGAGCCATTGCTCCTACCATTGCCATTTGGACTTTTTTTTTGTGCATTATTCAAATGCAACAGAATTATTTTTGCTATCAATGATGGCTAAACTAAACAGAGAATAGCTAAGCTTAAAGTTGTAAAGCCAAATTGTCATCTATAGTTGAAGAATTCATTTGCAAAACAGATAAAACACAATTTTTGAAAAAAAGGAGAAAAAAAAAATAGCTGAGGCATCTAATTTACTCTTTGCTTGGCGCTGCTTATAAAAAGTACTGTGGTGTGAAAAAGTGTCTGAACTTTGCACTTAAGTGTTTCGGAACATCAAACCAATTTAAAACCGTAGTCAAGGACAACACATGTAAACACAAAATGCAATTTTTAAATGAAGGTGTTTATTATTAAAGGAGAAAAAAATCCAAACCATCATGGCCCTGTGTGAAAAAGTAATTGCCCCCTAAACCTAATAACTGGTTGGGCCACCCGTAGCAGCAACAACTGCAACCAAGCATTTGCGATAACTTGCAATGAGTCTTTTAAAGCGTTCTGGAGGAATTTTGGCCCACTCATCTTTGCAGAATTGTTCTACTTCAGTTACATTAGAGTTTTTTTTTTTTTTAGCATGAATGGCCTTTTTAAGGTCATATCACAACATCTCAATAGGATTCAGGTCAGGACTTTGGCTAGGCCACTCCAAAGTCTTCATTTTGTTTTTCTTCAGCCATTCAGTGGTGGACTTGCTGGTGTGTTTAGGATCATTGTCCTGCTGCAGAACCCAAGTTCGTTTCAGCTTGAGTTCACAAACAGAAGGTTGGACATTCTCCTTCAGGATCTTTTGGTAGACAGCAGAATTCATAGTTTAATTTATCACAACAAGTCTTCCAGGTCCTGACGCAGCAAAACAGCCCCAGACCATCACACTACCACCATCATATTTTACTGTTGGTATAATGTTCTTTTTCTGAAATGGAGTCTTCCTTTTCCGCCAGATGTAATGGGACACACACCTTCCAAAGAGTTCCACTTTTGTCTCATTGGTCCACAGAATGTTTTCCCAAAAGTCTTGGGGATCATCAAGATGTGTTTTGGAAAAATTGAGACGAGCTTTAATGTTCTTTTTGCTCAGCAGTGGTTTTCTTCTTGGAACTCTGTCATGCAGGCCAAATTTTTCCCAGTCTTTTTCTGATGGTGGAGGCATAAACGCTGAGCTTAACTGAGGCAAGTGAGGCCTGCAGTTCTTTGGACATTATTGTGGGGTCTTTTGTGACCTCTTAGGTGAGTCGTGGCTGTGCTCTTGGGGTAATTTTGGGCGGCCGGCCACTCCTGGGAAGGTTCACCTCTGTTCCATGTCTTCGCCATTTGTGGATAATGGCTCTCACTGTGGTTCGCTGGATTCCCAAAGCTGGAAATGGCTTTATAACCCTTTCCAGACTGATAGATCTTAATTACTTTCTTTCTCAATTGTTCCT